TACTTCTCAGGTCAAATATCCTGTTTGTTACAAGAACAAAAACACATTTTTACACATCCTGCTGATCAGAGTTCTGTGGCACATCCAGCTGCCGGGCGTGACATCTATTGTATGAGCTTCTGTACATTGTAAATCTTAAATTACAGTCAAGGGTTTGAGATTTGCGTTTGGTTTGTTAGTTGACAACATGCATTTTTGTGAATTTTGGAGCATGACTTGCTTGTTTTATCATGAAAAGGTAACAAATTTGCCTCTTTCTGAATCTCAAAGCAGTCAAAAAAACAAAAACGGATTGCTTTATTGAGGTGGAATTTTGGCATAATGTCACTCTCACTATTAGCACCGAGTCTGTGCATGCCAATTGATCCTGCTGTTGTCATAGCAACATGAACCACTAAACCTCTGTGCAGCTGTTGTTATGGAAGTCCTTGAACAGCTGGGGGCTATAGCTGCATAGACAATGTGGGAAAACTGTCTTTTGGGCCGCGTTTTCCACCTTGACTCCCAAAAATTGAACTGTGGAAGATGATGGAATCTTAAAGACATCCATCTGGACAGTGCCATTCTCGTCGAGAGCCTTCCGATGAAAGCACACAAAGTGAAAGCAAGAAGAAAGTTGAATGACTTTTGTGCCACTTATTCACAAAGTAAAGTCAAGCATGTATATTGAACAACTCCTATGAGGGATGGAATTCATTCGGCATCCATAAAAAGGTAAAAAAAAAAAAAAATGCAAAAATGTCTGTAATCAGTTAACTAAAATGCACGAATTAGAATCACCGATTAAAAAAATGTCATGTCACTTTTGTCGAGATGGCTGACCATGTTGTGCTCAGTGATGAAAAACATTCAGATCCTGCGCTTCTCATACAATCCCTGACAAATAAATAAATTTGAATCACCGCTGCTGGAGGATGATCATTTACAATAAATGTTTAAATGTTTAATTTAGCAGAAAAAGGGCATATCAGAGATGTATCAGAAAAAGAACGTATTTAAACGCAGGTGTGTAGACTTTTTAGAGCCACTGTATATTTTGGTTATTTAAATCCTGATAGTAGATCCAATATTTATTTTTTAATTCATCTTTCTAAAAAAAAGTTTAATAAAAAAAGAAATGGCTTCTCTGTTTAGCATTTAGCAAATACTTATTGATGTGCGTAAAAACCACCTACAGGGACAGAGAAGAACAAGACCAATTTAAAAATGTTTTCAACAACAATTTTGCTCAGATTTTTAATTTTTTTTTTTACTTGGATGTTTGAGATATGTGCGGTGTAAGGTTGAAATGGTAGGTATACATTCTTGCTTGCTTGCTCGTTTGAACTCTTCTTGTTGCTATTTCTAACTGATTATCTTGAAACTTAAATATTTGTTTGTTATGTATAACAATGCAAACAAGGTCACAAAGAAAGACGCGCTCCAGGTTAAAACAGAACAGATTTTTTTTTTCCTTCTGTGGCAGTGACAATTTTTAACAATTTAATCTTTGGTCTTTACATTGCAACAACCGAGCTAATCGTATGTTTAAAGGTTGCTGGAGAAACATGGTTACCTGGCCAAGTTTCAATTTGCCTATATCTGTCAACTTTCAACAAATAGAACTCGCTGTTTGTCAAATCTGCTTTTGCTGAGGCTTCATGTTGTCCTTTGTGACAATTCATAATATTATGAATGCAACAGTAGGAACTGGAATGGAAGAAAAATATTTCATTGATATTGTTGATGTCTTCCAGTATCTATGTGCAACACTGGAATAACCATCCTTTCTTTGGGCTAAAATGACTGAATAACTGAATATGACACATTTAAATCACCGTATTTTCCGTACTATAAAGGCGGTTCGGTGTAAAAGGCGCACATTCAATGAATGGCCTATTTTAAAACTTTTCATATACATGCGCATTATAAGGCACATAGAATAGAAGCTATGATAGTGGCTGCGGTTACGTTTCACATCCAGTAGATGGAGCTACGCAACAGAGAATACAATACAATACAGTACAGCTTTATTTATGTAGTGTTTTCACAAACCGCTGTGGCTGTAACAAAGCGCTTGACAGAACATTTAAAATACGACGTCCAAGAAATCGGAATAGTGATCCATATATAAGGCGCATCAGATTATACAGTGTACGAGAAAATGCAATGCTTTTAGGTGCCCCTCATAGGTACGGTACTCTTCATTATTGAGTATAGAATGGATCTCTGCACATATGTTGAGGCAGTTTCAGGATTTGTTTTGTTTCCTCTGCAGCTCCTGTAACGAACATCGTGATTAGGCCTCCAGCCCCCTGGGTGGAGCCCCTAGCTGCTGCGACTCTTGCTCTGATTTACTTTGACGTCAACAGGAAGGTCAGCCGGGTCCCCAAGGTGTCATAGAGAGGAGTTGAATGGTGTGCTTGTGTGTGTGTGTGTGTGTGTGTGTGTGTGTGTGTGTGTGTGTGTGTGTGTGTGTGTGTGTGTGTGTGTGTGTGTGTGTGTTTGTGTGTGTGTGGCAGCCTTGGTATAGAGACACTCTTCTGGGATGCCAAACAGGACAAGAGCGGTAGCTGAAGGAGGAAGGGCCCTTTAAACTTAAAGTGGCTTGTGGGGGAATTATGAGGAGCTAAAATGTTTTCTTTGTTGCTGAAAGAAAGCTAAGAAACATTCTTTTCCAAAGCTCCCAAGCCCCAAGAGACCATTTTGGCGATGAAGCGCAATCTACAATAGTCATTATTTTTGTTGTTTTTTTTCCATGGGGTTTGATCATGACTTCCATCCTTTCTCCGAACCAATTATCCTCACGAGGGTCACGGGTATGCTTGAGCCGATCCCAGCTGTCTTTGGTACACCCTGAACTGGTTGCCAGCCAATTTCAAGGCCCTCATAGTCCAAAAACAACCATTCACACTCTCAATCACACTTAGGGACAATATCGAGCAGGGATGTCAAGCTAATTTTTGTCGCGGGCCACTTTAGAGCTACGTCTTCCCTCCCCTTTCTTATGACAGTGAAACCCCAAAAATGTTTAATCCTGCATTGCATTATTACTTGTACACAACACACTGATGAATTACTAGTTTTTAAAACAGTCAACTATAATATTTTTTTTTCAATTATTATTCAAGTGAGTCTGAAGATGGTAGCAAAATTTTACTGCAAAATCTCAACACTATTTATTACATAGGACAATTTGACATTTTGGTTCAGATTTTAGCAAAGATCATGCAAGTTCACACTAATGATTTGCTTTTGCGGGCCACATAAAATGATGTGGCGGGCCGAATCTGTCCCCTGGGCCTTGAATTTGACACCTGTGACATACAGTGTCCAATTAAGCTACTGTTTTTGAAACCCGGAGAAAACGCACGCAGGCACGGGGACAACATGCAAACTACACACAGGAAGGCCGGCGCCTGGATTCAAACTCTGGACTTTTGTGCTGGGACAGCAAAATCGCTGCAGTGGTTCTGACGTCACTTTGTCTCATAGACCAAAGTCTATGGAGAGAGATTCAATTGTAATTTAGCTTAAATGTAAGTATAAAATGTTGATTATGTAAAAAAATAAAAGTTGGTCTTTTTTTTTTTTTGTCTTGGTTATTTACAACCAAGCACAAAGATATATATTTTTTTATTTCAATCCAATTTCACGAACTACTTTCTCATCCGTGGAACAGATAAAGTTTTTTTTTTTCTTGTTTTTCTTAGCCCCTTTTACACACAGACACACATCAACACAGGCCTTCGGGTCGTACCCACAAACCCGACCACACACAGTCGTCCCCACTGAGCAGTTTTAAAGTGAATAAACACCATCCCGTCAGAGGCTGGAGGTAGGAGGCCAGTTGTGAGACCTGAGCATACTCCTACTGTTTTGAGGGAGCTTTAAGCGAAAGATCAGGTGTCCAGTCCTGAATGCATGATTGAACTTGAATCTCTTGCATGTGCACCATACCTCCACTTTAGCGCTGTGTGACTTCATGAGGACATGCCAGTCAGTCGCTCAAGAGAATTTGAATTGGTTTCACTTATCCACAGATACGTGTAATTTGACGTCAAGAATTATTTTTGCAAATATGCACTATTACCTGGCAACAGGACAGTCGTCCATCCCTTTCAGTCTTTCTCGGTACCAGTCAGTAGTTTTTCATTTGATATTTTGAATAGAATTTCGTTAACGGATTTAGAGTGTATAGGAACTTTTATTACTCATTTTGTTTTTATTTATTTATTATTTTTATGTCTTCATATACAAACCAAATAATGCATAAACCTTGATATTACATGTCTAAAAATGCACCGCAATAACTGATGCCTTGTCACATAACTGTCAATCATGAGCACTCATTTTTATCAAGTTTAATTGTTTTTCCCCCCCATGATGCAGATTCAAGACATTTATGTTTTATTTGTGATCAATGAATAATTATTTTTCCAGCCTGTCCTGTTTGGCTGATCGGTCATGCCGATTAGAGGATCTTTGTACTATACATATATCTTTTTATGTCGGAAGAGTTTTACATACTCCCAGTTTGATTATTGATGTTGTGATAGGTATATGGAAAAATATAGTTGTACAGAGGAAAAAATCCCCACACAAGACAGAAGTATAAAACAGCATAGTGGGAGTCAGAATCTAAGTAGAATTCTAAACCACTATTCACTTAAACTGAACTACATGAGTTGAACTTGCCCGGAGATCATAGTCTGTCATCAAATCACCTTGACAACTGTTGCATTAACATTGTCAACATCCCCAGTCATCCATAAAAAAAATCTATCTCACTTTGATTAAAATTATTTGCATGTTTGCCAACTCAGATTTTAAGGGTAATAATGATAGTTACGTCTGTGATGGTTAATTCTGCTTTCAGATGCTACACAAGACCGAATTGATCATTAGGTAAATTTCAAAAAAGTAGTATTTATAAAAAAACAAAACAAAACCAGATAACATGACTGCATGTGATCCTTATTTTTGCCAGTCATCTGTTTTGCATTGTGATCTGTTGACAGGCTCTTGGTGAAGAGTTGGACCCTGGGCCACTGTGCAAACACGAGTGAAAACCACCGTGCTGCTGTGGGCCAGCTAACTGTAAGTAAACATCCTATCTGCCATGCCTTCCCCCACAATACCTCAAATATACCTGAGAGAGCCAAAAAGCACAAGGATTAAAACAACAAACAAACAAAAAAAAACAACAAACATTGCCCCCTGTCGTCACTGAAGAGCTATCTATCTATCTCTCTATCTATCATTTTCTCTCTTTATATGTCTGTCTCTTTGTCTCTTTCCCTACCTCTCTGTCTCTCTCCGTCTACTCTAGCACATCGATAAAAAGAACAATGACAACATTTGCGCATTGGCGTTCAAACGCCAACATCTGTGATGTAACCCCGACGAGTTGAATGCTGGAAATTCCACAGAGTTACTTTAATGCAATGAAACACATCTAATACGGCTGTAAAATATGAAAGAAAAGTCAACTGCTGACACAATAAAAGACAGCTTATGAGGCAGCTGCACACATGGCAATGTTTAGCTAAAGACTTGAGGAGGTCTGGTTACACTGTGCCATTTCTGTGTTCCTACATAAAGGAAAGTCCATTCACGCAGCCAATGTCCGCGGACCCTCCGCTTGTTAGTGTTCCCCATGCTCAACCTTCCTCCAAACAAACCATCCTCCTCAGATTCTCCAAGATTGTTTTGTTTTTGCTTAAATTGGGTTTAAGTTATCCGTGTTCTTGAGATCACCCTTAAAAGCGAAACACTTTGCAGTTCAATTATTTTTTTCAGTGCTTGCCTATGTCAAAGTGGTGTCAGTTTTTCTTGTGGGCATCATCTTTTGGGCATGCTCAAAAATTGCTTGCGAAAAGTGAAACTTTTTGCATCCATTAAAACTGTTTGCAAATACTCGCAAACCTTTGCAGCTCAGTGGGATATTTTATATAAATTAATTTCTTCCTGAGCAAAAACAGACTTGCGCAAACATGGGCCGTTCAATCTTTGGATTTACGCTTTTGCACAGATATGCTGTTGTATTTGTGGTGCTTGGCTACATTTGAAATATCATTTCTTGAGGAAGACCACGGGGTCGGTCCCAAGTAAGGGATTTCCAGGTTAACTGCCGGAGAAGATTTGAATGTTGTCATCATTTGACCATCATGTCACTTATCCAGTCCTTTTGTTCACTTAAGAGTGCGAGAATATGACCTGTTTACCCACTTTGGCTCTTGAACACACACATTTACTTTTTCCCGGTGGAATTACTAACTCCTTCTACCCCTGCCTCAGTCAGTCTTTTCTCAAACGCTCAGAGTTAATCCAAAATACAGAAGCTAGACTTCTCACAAAAACCCGATTTCCAGTGAAACTCAGAATCAACTATCAGATCCTTTTTATTACTTCTAAAGCACCTCATGACCTCACTTCTCCCAGCATTTCTGAGCTCTTTATTCCTCATTTCACCAAGCAAACTGTCCGCTACACAAATCTTGGCCTTTTATCCATCCCCCTCCACAAAGTGCAAATCAAAAGCTGATTACCCAGCGAACATCTGATATCAATTCGACATCAATATGACATCAAAATCCAATCTTCAAGCATCAAATTGATGTCAAATTGATGTCATGTGTTGACTGCGCATTTGCATTTTTAGCCCCAACGCTGCGGAACTTCCTCCTTGGATTGCATAAAAAAATAATAATAATAATAATACAAATAATTTATATCATCCAGCCTTTCTTCAGGCCTTCCTTTTAGTCCCATTACCTGCTTTAACATTATTGTCCATTTTATTCTTGCTTGATTTCTCATTGTCATGTTTGCATTTTTCTGTACTTTGTGGTCACTGCATGTTTTAAAAAGTACTTTATAAATAGTCAGACTCATTCAACTTTCCCCAAACTGCTTTGTCAGAAGTTATGACCACACTGATGCTCACTCCACCAAAACCTGAAGTAAAATATCAATGAGTGGAGTTCACGAACAAAATACAGACTCTTTCATATAAAGAGTAAAGAATATAGTTCATGCAGTAATTTCTGAATTAGCGGAACAGCGGTGCAAAAAGATAAATCTGAAGGGTCGGGCCATTTTACTTTAGCACTGAGACCTTGGCTGCTGTTGACAGCAGCCGGTTGATGTTCTATTGTGGACAACCCTCTTGGGACTTCCTCCTGGACTATTATGGGATCCAGCCTCTCATTCCCGGTTTGAGCCCCTTGACACTCCGTCCTTGCCTTGGCACTTTATTTAGCAGCCAAAAACTCCATTATACCCTTGTCCCCCTCTCCTTTGCATGTCCCTGGGTCCTTTGTAGTCTAGGTCCCCGACCTCCAGCGCTCCCCCCCCCCCCCCCCCCCCCCCCCCCCCAACATCATTATTGTACTCAGCTGCAGAGGCCACTGTGCTGTTGTCTATTGGTTGGTATGTGGGCAGCGTGCCCGATAAGCGCGGGTGCTTCCTTAATGGAAGGTCTTGAGAGATCATGTTTCTGCCACCTGTCAGTCAGCTTATGAAGTAGGGGAAGGGGGCCAAGCTTGGTTGATACTGCTGGGGTTGAATGCAGCGGGGTGCATATGAGTGATGCCATTGCAATCCGGTTGCAAGCCTGCATTAGTCACCCAGACATTTTAAGTCATCGGTTTTAACTTTTGACATTTTTGCTGTCATTCTCTTAACACACCGAAGGCATGTTTAGACTAGAACAGGGATGGGCAGTTCATTTAGCAAAGGGGCCACACAAACTGGAAAATGGGCCAAACCTCCACTTTGTCTATATATTTTTTAGTGAAATTAGAAAAAACATTGTTTCAATAAATTGATACGTGAGTTCAGACATCCATCCATCCATCCATTTTCATAAGAAAACCTTTATTATGTTATGAAAGGAAGAAGTAGAACAACAAAATATAGGAGCTGCTGGAAAGGCAGCCACTCTCGCGGCGCCATCTTGAAGTCAAAATAACAAAAATAACACAACACATATGACACAGACAGTCGTGCAATCTTCACCACTTTCCTGCATACACTTTGTTGTCTGAAGCAGTTATAGATGAAAGAGGAGAGGATCAAAGTGTCCTTTTACCAGTGGATCAGAGACGTCATGCTGAAAATGTGAACATGTCTGCTACAAGCTAAGTTTTGAAAGCAAACACGAAGTTGTAGCGTCCATTGACAAAAAGAGATTTAGTTCACTTCTCCTGTCCCACGTAATCCGCTTCAACTCCAAGCCGCGACTCCCGGTTCCACATTCGCATCGGCGCTCTGCACTCACGCTCCTTTCTTCTCATCGTCGGCTCCTCAAGTCTTGCATCCATCCAGCCGCAGGCCGTTCAACAGCATCGAACTCTCCGCTGAACAAAGCGGGGCTGTAAAAATGCTGCCCATTACAGGTGCAAGACACAAGCGCCCCGGAGCTGTCCAGCAACGACAGTCAAATGGCGCCGACATTCCTCCCAATCAAAAACAGTGCTGGCATATCCATGCTGCCGAGAAGGTGCAATCACCAAGCACCGATTCTCCTCCTTGATGAATGTTGTGGCCAAAAAATGCTGAAAACAGTCCACATCAAGTCCACACGACGTAACAACAAACACAAAGTGACAAAACAAACAGAAAAACAACAAAACAAGCAAGGCTCATGAGAGCACTTGCCGACGGCTGCCTACTCGGGCGCCATCTTGGACTTCTCTTCTCTTCTGATCCACCTATCCTCATAAGGGTTGCAAGGCATACTGGAGCCTGTCTTCCTGTTTTGGGGCGGTAGTGGGGGTACACCCTGAACTGGTTGCCAGCTAATCGCAGGGCACACATAGACGAACAACCATTCGCATTCACACTCACACCTGGGGACAATTTAGAGTGGTCCATTAAACTGCCACGCAGGTTTTTGGAATGTGGGAGGAAACCGGAGTACCCGGAGAAAACCCACGCAGGCATGGGGAGAACATGCAAACTCCACACAGGAAGGCCAGAGCTGGTATCGAACCCCACACCTCTGCACTGTAAAGCCGACACGCTAACCAGTCGACTAACACAGACCAATTTTGCATTTAATAAACAATTAGCTTTCATTGATATTGAATAAATATGGTTCAGTGTAAAGCAAGTTGCATTTAAACATCACACGAGTTGATGGAAGCAGGATGGACACTCAAAGAATTGTGAAAAAAAAAATCAACTTTCAGGTATAGCCCGCCTTAAGAAATTGAATATCTAAGGATTGGCGGCGATTCCCGCATCGCTGTGGAATCCTATGCAAAATAGGCAATATTCCGTTGATCGCAAAACACTTCCTCCCTGACCTCACAAAAGTTTAAGGTTACGGTTATGCTCTTCATTATTATGTTCGCAGTGTGAGCCCACATTTTCCTCCATCACATTTACTACCTCCATGTAAAAATCCATCCATATCAATTTTACTCTCCCCAACACTCTTTACCCCTACGAACCCTAATTGTAATTATGTTGATTTAACTTAGACACATGCGGCTCCCTCCGTGCCATTTGAATAGGAGCTTATTAGTCTGAATATCTTTTTATATTTATTTATTCCCATTTCTCAGCATTCCTGTCGGCATTTCCAATTACTCTTGTCGTACGGCTGTAATTGCCTCGATGCTAATGGCTGCAAGACAATCGTGCTAAATGAGGTGAGGCCAAGAGGCTAGGAGCCCGACTTCATTAAGAGCTAATGGGATTTTATATGGGGGACTGAAGACACAGCTCATCAAAAACCGAGATGGAAGGAAAACAAAACAGATGGAGGGGGAGAGCTAAATCACCAATATTCTCACTTAGCTCGGCAAACAAAAAGCACAGTTTACTCTTCCCCTTCCTCTATTTTTAGAGAAATATGATGGTTCAGACATCTTTTTTTTTTATGTTCTTGGAAACTGTCACAGTTTTTTTTTTCACACTTTTGGAATAAAGAGGGACCGTGTTGGATGGATGGATGCTAAGGTCTGTGCCTGCAATGCTGCATGTATTGTAGACGTACATGCAGAACATATCAAAACCTGTACTGAATTCATTTTAATTGAGCAATAAAATGTCTATGACTCTTTTCTTTTGGACAATCTGATTTTGAC